ATCATTGATTCATCCCTTGGAGTTTTACACATTGCCAGTGTTGGATACGAAGCACCCATGGATAGCTCATCCGTGCTCGCCTCATACATGCGCTGCTTGAAGTGCCACTCTGAAAGAGTTGTTACCAAGCACACCTCCACGGTGTCTTCTTCGCCGAGGGAGGGTGCGGGTGTTTCCGCGGGTGTTGATCCACGGCCCGTCATTACACCACCAGTGACGAAAACAAACACTACCGGTGATGCGGTCACTGACCACTACAGCGACCATGTGGGTGTGTAATAGGGAGCCCTTCTTCCAAGATGTGTCTTGGTCTGCCCTTCTTCCAAAGAGGTCGAACTGGAAGGGTCTCCCTATTGTAATACACACTACCGTGTCACCTCATCACTACAGTGGCCTGGCCGTCATGGACCGGATCATCCCGCCTGTCCGCATCCTGAGACCACACGAGTCCAACGCCAAGTCCCAAAACCTCCTCCAAGACCGCCAAGCCAAGTGAAATCACTGGGTTTTGTTCAGACCATCGCGGTAGGACAGGTGCCTGTTGCCTCACCAAGAACCCTGTATTTGCCTTGCCTCAGTGACACCTCCCCAGAAAGACTACCGTGCTTCGAAGGTTCGAGTCACAAAGCAAGGGGTGGGTGTGACAGTGGCACCTCAAACCTCCATGGATAGCACCCCTACCTGCTATAATCCTCTCTGGCAGTAGGCTCCATCATCCAAAGAAAGAATGCCGCACAGGGTCCCCTCCACTGGTTGATTTCCAGGTTTTGAGGAATAATGGCGCCACTTCTCCCGGGTATGGTGAGTCTATATTCTAAAATATGGCAATACTATAGGGAGCCCATGAGCAGAGTGTTTCTTGAGACAGGCTGTGTCTTGGGCCACTCCAACCCACGAAAATCATCATCACTCCCTTTTCCGTGGAGCGAGCTTCACGTCTGAATGTTCATGTAGCACCAGACTTCCCCCCAGACCTGCTAGACTTCTGCTAGGCTAAAGAAATCACACTAGGCTTTTCTCGAGCATTAATATGCATTAATTAGCTGCTAGACTTCTGCTAGACTGAAAAGACGTCCTCGCGATCAGCTGCGTCGACTAGCCGCTGGAACTTCTCTTTCACCACCACACCAATCCACTGGATCATTGCATGTTTCACGTGCTGGTTCACTCGGTCAAAACCTACCTTGCAAGTGCTTCCAAAGCACTGGAGCAAAACAGATCATGACAGGTCTAGCAAATTGACAGCATATTATCATTTGATCCCAATTCTGCTGCTGTATTTAGATTGCTCTGCTGTTCTCGGATCCTGGCTTCCTATATCTCTGACATACGCCTAGCCTTTGAACAGGGAGACAAGAAACATCTCCCGCACATCCACGACTTGCCAACAAGTTTACGAAACATGAAACCAAACACCCTGGGTAAGCTTCCGCGGGGTTGTTCAAAAATCAACCAGCTGTTGGAAAAATATATGGTGCGAATATCGTGCGACAGTGCATGCGACAGTGCGACCCACCGTTGGAGGAAGGACGAAACCACACTAAACCACACTGAGACGTTAAACAAAAACACGGTTGTTGACAGGGTCTTGGTGGTTTCAGGTCGTGCTGGAATTCCATAGACCAAGCATATAGAATAGGCTATAAGTTGAACAAAACGATGCACGAATCCAATCAACTCCAAGCGTCCGTGCACTCGATCGTCCTCTTCACCTTCTCCTCGTCTCTCGGATCAAAGGCTCGAGCATCGGCCACGTTGACGTGGCACAGGGACGACGTCACGTCGTCGATGCCCGACTCTCCGCGAGAGATCCTGCCGAAGGGAATTTGGGGGAAGAATTCCAGCTGTGACCAGTGACCGACCCAGAAAATTCGAGAAAAAAAGATAGATCCATAATCTAATCCAAAATATGAATCTGAAATATGTGTGCATTTTTTGTTTTTGAAGAGAGACAAAAAGGAGAAAAGGTGCTTCTAAAGTCTCAGCAAAGCATCTGATCT